CCTGTGTCCAAGTCACTTTCAAAAGGCAAGATTTTTATAGTTACTGTCAAGCTTAGCCTTTATAATCATCTAGATTTAATGATCACATTTATATTTAATTAGCTTCTCCTAATAACAATACTATTTTATCATAAATGGGTTTGGAAACCCTAAAATATATTTTGTGTAACTAAGGAGGTATTTTTTGGGGGGTCTCTGACCAGAAAGGGGTACAATTGTATTTTCTACTTTCTTTTGTAATAAACAGAAAGACATACAGGTCTGTAAGTAACAGTTAAATTATTGTATTTTATTACTACAACTAAAATCAGCTATGGTCATTCTATTGCAAATTACACGTTTTCATTTAGACCAACTACAAAGTTTTTCTCAGAACAATTATCATAGTAGAAAAAAAAATTTAAAGACATATTTTAAACAATTATTTTGTGGAAAAAGCACTAGAATAAGGTCAGAAGAATTAAATTCTAAGGTGGATTTTCTTACTATGTGTCCATGGTGATATCACATAAGTCTCAATTACACCGTCAGTGAAATGGGGCTAATGATAGGTGATAGATGTTCTTTTTATTTCACAAGATTCTTATAAGGGAAATACAGATAATAGGTAGGAATTACTTTGAAACTTTATAAAGAAAATATCAATGCTATTAAAGTTTTTCAATATTGTGTTATAATGTTGCTGACTTTAAATTTTCTAAATAAATTAGTATGTCTTATTTAATATTTGTAGTTGTACTTTGAAGTAACCACTACAAAAAATTAAGTTGTATATGATAAAACTCTGTTTTAAAAATGGATACATTTTAACGTTGTAGGAACTAGACTTTATACTTAGCTTGGCACGTCTTTTTTTAATACAAAATGCAAGGCCAACTAGAGATTTTTGCCTTCCACGATTTGGCCCTTGTCATGAGATTTCTTTTCAGACCACTAGATGGCGCAACTTAAGGTCTACTACTTGTTAAAAGAAATTGTCAGAGGTCTAGTGACAGACCGACCTCCTCTATGAAGAAAAAAACAAGTGAGGAAAACAAGAAAGAGGAATGTTATGAATACCCGAAGTTACACAGTGCTTCTCTTGCAAAGGCAGAGACGTGCAGAGTGCAGTGCAAGTTCAGGAAACCTGTTCCTACATGCAGTCTTTTTACTAACTCAGAGGGATCACTTTTGTCTGGGTATAGGTTTCATTTAGTCAATTCTCTTCAAATGGATTCCTTCTCTGTGTTTTCCTTCCCTAGAGACAGGACAGAGATCATGAGTTCTATGGGTGCCATGGTCTCTAGGTGCTCAGTACTTGGGAAGGATGATGATGGTGTTCTGAGAGGGCAGCCAAACAAATTTTACAGCCATTTGGTTCTATTCCTGACTCTGCCGTGCTCTGGGAGCAGTGTGTGACTACAGGAAACTTCTTCTGAACTTGGCCTAGTTCTCTGTAAAACTGACTGTATCATTTGGCACCTGCCTTCTCCGAGGAGAGTTTATAAGGATTAATGAGATAATGCTGCCTCAGACCCAACCTTTTAATGAAAGCTGCTAATTATTAACAAAGCCTCAGTGGGCAGGTCCATAATTAAAGTCTGACCTTTCATCTGTGTCAAAATCCTCCTGAAATGGGTGACATTATTGCTACAAGTAAAGGAACATTTTGCTGGAGAAGTAAAAATAAGTGAGAGGAAGGATACCAGGCTTTTGAAAGAAGGTGCAAAGAGCAGGGACGACCAACCTACACTAGAGGAGGGTGAAGGTGATGAATATTCTCCTCATTGACAAGAAAGAATCTTGCAGAGGAGTGGAAGTGGATCTTTTTCCTGTTCACTGAGGACAGAAGATGCAGAAAGGAATTCATCAAAATGGTTAAGACATAAAAAACTTAGAGAAGGGATATTTGGAAAGCAGGTGTTGTACATGTTTCTAATATGAGAGAATCAAACAGACCTGTTTCTAACTTGGTGAAAATTGTGTGTCATTAGGAGGTCAAATTTCATTAGAAGTTTCTATATTCTTTTAAAGACAGAATATTATTTCTGAATATAATTTCTGAAATGGGGAACATTCTAGGGGTTTTTTTCATGTTCTCTTTCTGCTGAGATATGAATTCAATTTCTCTCTTATGCTCTCCGAAGAACATTTCTTACTAGATTCTTCTTCAACCTTTTCTATTTTAATCTGGAGCATTCAAAGAAGTCGTGTTCTATTTCCACATATTGAAGACTTCATTGTTAGGTAAAATGAGGTTCCTCATGGAAGGGCAAGGTGAAGAGCGTTTCCACGCTGCCTTCTGCAGAAGAAAAAGAACTTCCCAAGAGGCCTGAACAAGACTGCTTTTATTCCTTCTTCCTCCTTCCTCCCCTCTTCCCTTCCTCTTTTCTTTCCTTTTAACTAATTTTTATTGAGTCTCTACCAAGTAAGAAGCCCTACATCAGGCCCCACATAAACATATACTTCCTATTGGCATGTTTAATTTGGCTTTCAGCTCTGTAATCTTTCTGTGACTAATAGAGAATGGAGAATATCCTGGTTGAGGACCACAGGTAACAAGAAAGTTTTACGCGAGACTTCTTAGCCATCTCTGGGAAGGATTTACATGGGATATTTGTTAACAGCTGTTTCGAAGTTAATGACACTAATTTTTAAAAGCTATTTTGATTTTCTACTAGAGAAGCCTTATTCCTTTATGTTCCTCTGATTAAAATGAATATGTGAAATTATCTCTGAGTCCCTTAGAAGCTTTTCAGTGATTTGAATTGTGCCCTCAGAGCCAAGAACAGACAGTAAGAAAGAACTGGAGAATCCTCCCTCCCGTGTCACTGCACTATTCTAACTGAATCAGCCAATATTCTCTAGGCCAAGGGCATTTACACTATTAAGCATATTTCAGACGAGCTCTGACTCTACACCATGACAGAATGTAATTCCAGGTTCTCAGCAATGAGGTTGTATATGCCTCTATTTCCAGTTGGTTACTGCTGTTTTTTCAACCGATTTTTTTTGTTCTATTAATAATCTTTTTTAAAAATTAAGTGAATATATTGATAAATGGAAAAAGATATGTACTATACATATACAAACATATTCAGAGGAATAAAAAATTTGCTGGTTGTGTTAACATATCTTTAGCATGAAGTCTCTAAATCACCCTTGAAATTATTTTCTTCAAATACCCAAAGCCTAACAAACAACCTTAAACACATGAGTCAGGTTTTATTTTCCACATTATATAAGTTTTCAAATTATTGGTCAATGTTCTACTCCCTTATGAATTTGCAAAACAAAATCTTAAATATTTATTTATTTATTTATTTATTTATTGAGACAGGATCTCACTCTGTCACCTAGGCTGGTGTGCAGTTGCACAATCTCAGCTAACTGCAACCTCCACCTCCCAGCCTCAAGCCATCCACTCCTCTCAGCCTTCTGAGTTGCGGGACTATAGCTGTGCTACCATGCTCGGCTATTTTTTATATTTTTTTTTGTAGAGATGGGATTTCACCATGTTGGCCAGGCTGGTCTCGATCTCCTGAGTTCAAGTGATCTGCCCAAACTAAGCTAATGGGATGAATTTTGGTAAAGATCAAGAGAGAGTCATTCTCAAACCAATATGATCATCCTCATTACAGAGAGACTGTGTCTTACTAATCAAAAAGCCTAGGGGCTTACCAACTAGAAATGCAACAAAACACAACCATCTATATTTATGTATTACAAGTATTTACTTTCCATTAAAACAGCTAGTATTCTTGTAGTATTGCCCATATAATTAATTTCGTTAAAAATTATTTTATTTTTCAATCTACCATTTCAGGATCTTACTTATATTCTGATAACATAGAAAGGAACATTTTTTTCCCCAACCTGGTTAGTGGTATGATAAACTCACTGTGCTAAGGTCAAAAGCCACTGGGATACCAGTTTCAACCACATTATTCACTAGCCTTGAAGTAATACAAGTAATAATATCAGTAAATGGAAAAATCTTTCATTTGGATTATGTTTTTAATGTAGAATTTCCCCCCCCCCCACATATACCATTATTCACTGTTCATCATATTATTTCTGGGACTTAGTTTTCTTATCTGGAAAATGGGGATAGTAACTCCAATTCTGCCTACTTCAGAGGGTTACTGTGGAAATGAAAGACAAAGAGTATGTAAACTGCATTTAGGCTCAGAGAGCATGACGGCATAGAATGACAGCCATTCATGCACAGAGCCAATTTGGCCATATATAACAATATTAAGGACTAGGAGAGAAAAAAAAAAAAAGAAACTGACTTAATTGGTCAGTTGTGTAAACCTGGAGACATGCATATCTTCTGAGTCTCCCATAAATGAACAACACTACATTAAAAACCATAAGCCAACATTTTAAAAATGCTGTCTAGAGATGCGTTTTCCAGTTTAATTTCTAATGAATGTGAGCTAATCCTGGATGATTCCAAGTTGTCTCCTACATATCAGGGCTATGAAAGTTCTTAAAACAAATATATTTATAGGAAGTTCTATTTTTCTCTTGGGAAAACAATATTCTGGGAATGACTACAACTATATTCTCTGATACTACCAAAAACTATCTCCCTCTGTGTGCTGAAAATGATCATAAAGAAACTGGGTTGGGGCATGCACGAGTCAGTATAATGAGCCCTATTACACTCCCCTTCTGTTTACCTTCTGAAAACGCTTTTCTCAGTGTGAGAAATACACTCTGTGTAGAGTGTATACACACTGTGTAGAGTGTATGTCTCACACTGGGAAAAGTGTAGTTAGGAAAATCTATAGTTGCTTAGAGTAGTCAGGAAAATCTAGTTGCTTAAATGCATCTTTCAGTTCACAGTAGCTTTATCTCTGTGCTGCAATAAAATGCTTTTCAATCAGAATCTCCTTTCTCTGCACCTAACAATGAATGCAGAGATGGAACCTGTCCAAACTGAGCAGAAAACCACCAAATTCAAAAAGAACTGGAGATTTTCAAAATGTATTGGCAGAGCTAAAAACAGTTACCTGGGCAATTATGTCTGTAATTTCTGAATAACTATGGCATCTTCCCACACAGGATCGAGCCAAAAAGTCTTCCACAAGCCGCGTTCCAATGCCATAACCCCTATGGATGAAGGAAAAAATGTGGTCTGAAAATTCTAATTAGTGAAGTTTATTAGTTTTTAAGAAGTAATTTGTGTATTTAGCACTTGTGCAAGAGAATCACAAACCAAACCAAACATGATGAGTCAAATGGCTTTTGGCCGTGGGCTTCTTACTGGTCCCATAGACCACAGAAGCAGAGAGCAACACACCAAGGAAATATTAACTGGGCTCCTCCTACAAGCAAAACAGTCTGCCTAGAATCAAGACTGGCCCAAACTTGCCAATATAAATTAAAATTAAGGGAGGCTGGTGTCTGTAGCCTAATGTTTCTCAGTGGCAACTCATTTTCTCATCGTTAGCTATTGACGGAAATCAAATGAGCATCTTGCTAAAATGTCTGCTACATGTGTGATATACAAATGCTTGCTCTTCTCTTAGCATCATTATCAGGGTAGAAGGGATGACATTTCCAGGATGGGCTCTGGAAGGAGGGGAAGAAGGGAGCAGAAAAAATTTTTGTTGCCAGCGAAAGTTTCCGAAACTTCAGACTCTGAAGTTTACAAAAAAATAAACAGCCAAGTTGTAAAAACTCATTTTTCACTCCAGGGAAACAAACTATGGGACTTAAGGGAAGGTACTGTATTATCTCCAGCCCAAGAAAACAGCTCTAGTAGCTCCTGAAGCACAATTTTGAAAACCTTTGATTGAGATGTGATTATACACCTGAATATGTGGCTAAGGTGGCTAAGCACACATCTTCAGCAAGATAAACTGAGAAACAAGTAAATTTCCCAAAAGGATACAAAGGTTGGAGTCTCTATTTTATAAGAACTTGCAATCTAGTTGAGAAAATGTGACCTTCATGGTGGAAATCAAACAGAATACTGTTTTTGCCAAACCTCTGTCATAAAATTGGCCTTTTAATTTCACAGCCACATGTACATAGACAAGTGAAATGATTTCGAATGGAGCCACAAAATACCCAAGGAGACACCACAGTGTTCGGATGCAGTGATTACTCCCGAGGATCTAAAGAGGTGAACTCTCTGGTGACTAGGTGGTTGGAGGGGAACAGATTTGATGTGAGAGTTCTTATGAATTCAATAAATCTTGTGAGATACCCTGTTTATATTTCTGAGTGGATAGAAATATTCAGTTTAGCTTTCTTGACTTTAAAGAAAAATGGTTTATAATTTCAGCCAAGAAGCTCGCACTGCAGTGACTTTTAACCATCAAAATGTCTACTTTACAGAAATAGTTGTATCAGGATTAAAAAATATTTCCAGTGGTTTTTTTGTTTTTTGTTTTTTGTTTTTTGTTTTTGAGACAGAGTCTCACTCCGTCACCAGGCACCAGGCTGGAGTGCAGTGGTGTGACCTTGGCTCACTATAACCTCCGCCTCCCAGGTTCAAGCAATTCTCCTGCATCAGCCTCCCGAGTAGCTGGGATTACAGGTATCTACCACCACGCCCAGCTAATTTTTTGTGTGTGTTTTTAGTAGAGATGGGGTTTCACCATGTTGGCCAGGATGGTCTCGAAGTCTTGACCTGTGATCCGCCCGCCTCAGCCTCCCAAAAGTGCTGGGATTACAGGCATGAGCCACCACACCCGGCCTCCAGTGTTTTTTAATTATCACTTTGCGTATCCACAGCTCAGCCACTGGGAACAATGGTTAGAAGCCAAAATGTTATGAGCTGTGCTATATCAACACGTATTGCTTTGGTCAAAGGATATGTTTCTGCAAAGTAGATATTTTATAAATTAAAAATGCAAGAGGATCTCAGCAGAAGCTATTAAGAAAATCTAAATGTGAATTTTTTGTCTTAAGGAAACATATTTCTACAGCTTCTCAAAAATTTACTCTTTAATATTTCATTCATATTTGTTAAATGTGTACTTAATTCGCTAAACAAAGGTTTTTTTTAGTCAAATCAGTGAGCTTTTTTATTTTCTACAGCGATTTCACAAAGCAATGCAAGTTTAACATAAGTCAAATAAAATGAAGTAATTTCTGAAAATGCTGTCAGATGTTTAAGTGTGACCTTAGTGTAAAATGACATTAACATTTCTCACAGCTATGAACAGTTCAGCTAAGGAAGTGAATGAAAAATCTATAGGTGGATAGTTGGGCAGTTCTCTTCTTTGTGAGTGCCCTTGACAAACTAAACAGAAATGCAAAGTAAAAGGCATGTGTACAAAAATAGAACTTTTTTAAAAGAAAAAGTGTATGTATACAGAAAGAAGAAAAATGAGAGTTTTATAGAAAGATCTTTCAATCTTTCCCTCGTGTTGTGTTTTTCTGTATTTCAACTGAAAACACAATGAAGCCTTTTAAAAAGCTCTAAAATGTTAGGCTAGCTTTCTCCTTCAATCTACCTAGATAAATCTTGTAACCCAGTACATGTTTTCCAGTCTTTGCTCTGTTAGAGTCCTCTTCAGAGTTTATAATTAAGAAGTTCAAAAACCATTGACAGATGTTTTATTGTTTGGCAATCATCTGATGATCATGTAGTTATTCAGAGAAAATCAAAAAGTAGAATTTGTGCAGGAGGAATCTTCAATAATAAAGACAAAGAGAATGGGTCTCATTTAAAAAGAAAGAAGTGGTTTTGTTTTGTTTTGTTTTGTTTTGAGACAAAGTCTTGCTCTGTTGCCAGGCTGGAATGCAGTGAGCAATCTCAGCTCACTGCAACTTCTGCCTCCTGTATTCAAGTGATTCCCCTGCCTCAGCCTCCCAAGTAGCTGGAATTACAGTCACGCGCCACAACATGCGGCTTTTTGTATTTTAGCAGAGATGGGGTTTCACCATGTTGGTCAGGATGGTCTCGATCTCCTGACCTCGTGAGCTGCCGTCCATGACCTCCCGAAGTGCTGGGATTGCAGGCGTAGCCACTGTGCCCTGCCTGGGTTTATAAAATATATATATATATATATATATATATATATATATATATATATATATATATAAACTTTTTTTAAAGACGGCATTTCACCATGTTGGTCAGGCTGATCTTGAACTCCCGACCTCAGGTGATCCGCCTGCCTTGGCCTCCAAAGTGCTTGGATTGCAGGCGTGAGCCACTACGCCCAGCCTACCTAATATGTTTTTAAGAAAAGGGTAGTAATAATTAAAAAACATTCAAACAATAAGAATGCTATCTTAAACAAAAGAAACTCTCCCTTTAATTCATAATTCCCAGTTTCCCCATCTTCCCTTTAGGAAACTACCATTATGAGTTTCTTGCATATCTTTCTACAGATGGCCTGTGCTTATGTAAGCATATATTTATGTTGGAAGGAATTGTGTTAGAACAAAAGACTTCTGAAAATAATAAATTTGAATTTTCCTCGTGTTGTTAAGAGAACAATTTCAATTTTACCACCTTTTGTTTAGAAGCAACTCTTAAGTCACTTATAATTAAGAAATGATGTCTAACTAAAGAGAAAACATCCCACACTCGATATTCTTATCAAAGAAATTCCTTCCTATTACTTTATTCTATCAACCCAAATGGTACTTGTAAGAAATTATATTGAGCTTTCAGATGTGATTCATTGAGACAGAAGAACAGCGGTGAAATGAAGCAAGAGAAGTCATCAGAGGCCGAAAGAATGTAGGTGATGTAAGAAACAACAGATATTCTGTAAGAATGAAAGAGTTCCACTTACATTTTATCTAAATATTGATTCACATCTTCATCTTTCTCATAATCCTTACACAGCTGGGCAACCAGAGCTCCATAGGTAAGGACAAAGAGATCTTTATTCTGGAGAAAAAGGGGTAGTTTCTTGTTATAGGCAAGTTATGACAGTATACTACTGTATTTTTTTCTTTCTTTCTTTCTTTTTTTTTTAACAAAATCTGGTTGGAAGAAGCCTGAGAGATCATCTGTACATTTTTTTCTTCCTCCTATTATTGCAACAATTTGCTATTTGAAAACAAATTATATTCACTTTTGGATACATTGATGTGGGTAGGAGAGAGAGAGCTATTAAATAAAATTATTTTCTCTTTTTTTTTTTTTTTTTTTTGCTTTTTGAGACAGAGTCTTGCTCTATCGTCAGGTGCCAGGCTGGAGTGCAGTGGCGCAATCTCAGCTCACTGCAATCTCTGCCTTCTGTGTTCAGGCAATTCTCCTGCCCCAGCCTCATGAGTAGCTGGGACTACAGGCGCATGCCACCACGCCCAGCTAATTTTTGTAATTTTTAGTAGAGACGGGGTTTCATCATGTTGGCCAGGATAGTCTCAATCTCTTGACCTCGTGATCCGCCCACCTCAGCCTCCCAAATGCTGGATTACAGGCAAATAAAATGAACTTCTTAATATGAGAACATCTTTCTATGCATTTGCTTACATGATAACTTGCGATGTATTTTCATGGAGACAGTTGTTTAAAAATACTAATTTCTAACATAAATTTCTGTTTTTCTAAAATATATGCCAACCATGTTTTCAGCTGAAAGAAATAATTGGATAAGACTTCTCAGGAGTCTGCACAGTCCCTAATGGCTCCCAGATCTGCCAAGGAGACCTTCAAAATAAACCCAAATGTAGCAGCAAATTTGTGAGTTTCTTTTCTTTATACTTAGAGAAAAAAGGGGAATGTGGTATTTCCTTATAGATCTCCAAAATATGTCCCATTTTTAGAGTGAATTATAAATGAAAACTAAAACTTAAGACAATTTAGGTTTGACTTAGGGTTCTTCAAAGAACCTAATAATAAATCATAAGAAATGCTGGTAAACTATCAATGAAAAGTCTGCTCAACATATAGGAGCCACAGCAGAAAACAAAGTGTGGTCATATGCTAATGCTACAGCATAAAGATAAGCAAATGTGAATGGTGGGAGGTGAGAGAGAAAGACAGAGAGACAGGAGACAGAGAGAGAGAAAGAGAGAGAGAAAGAATGATGAGTTTGTTTTGACTGGCAGTAAAACAAAAGAATTTGAAAAAGAAGTAGAAAAAAATTAAACTCTACCTACATGCGATGGCCCCAGCATTGTGTCCATTTATAATTATGACCAAACTGAAATAATGGAATTTCTTCACTGTCCCTGATGGGTGGGCACTACTCTGTCTTGAAACCTATTTTATTTTAAGCCAAGTTTCTGGTACAGTACCCATAAAGACCAGCCTTCTCTATTCTGCTTCATGGCCAAGGACTGTACCTTGAACTACCTGTTCAGCTGGGTCTCAAATCCATACCACAGATGCCAAGAAAGGTTAACATAAATATATCTTCATAGTTTTAAAACAATAAAAATAATCATATGAATATTTGAAAGAACATGGTTAACTATTTCAGTAGGTTGTGAATGTATCAGTATAAAAATACATTTTAACTACTTTATAAAATCAAGTGATTTAGATATAATCTGAACTATGTACCATATTTCTTAGCACTTGAGAGCCCCACAGGAAAATAAATCAAGATCCCAGAATGCCAGCAGAGGTATCTGCAGGCATTTCAAACTGAAGCATGCCCTTAGTCACTACAATTCTAAACACCAAGTCTGAAATTAATTATATCAAATCTCCATCAGTCTTCTGAAATAATTAACAGAATTTGAAAGTTAACAATGAATTTTTGTATCTGTAGCTTCTGAATGACTAACACTATAAGAGAGTATTAAAGCATGCTATCTAAAACTAAGGTTAGTAAATAAGGTTAGTAAATAACTCTTAACCTGGAATATATAGAAAGAATAATATTGCATACAAAGTTACAATAAGACTAGGAAACATTTTTAAAGGTAATTCTTTAATATCTAGTTTTTTGATGACCTATTTCTATTCAGTTTTACAAATAATCAACTATTACATATATACATATATATAATTTCCTATTTCCTGAAGTATGAAATACAAAAAATGGCTTAATCTTTTCATATTTTCTGTCAAAAGCAAAAAAATAGACATTTGTATGTGTATAATTAGTCAGAAAAGAAGATCTTAAAGTCTATATGAAGAATTGGTTATTCTTTGTGTGCAAGATAATCGTAATTATTCCTAGATGTGTCATTTAGGATTCACCTCACTGAACACTCTCTTTCCTCTACTAAAAATTCTTATAGCATCACTTTTTGAAATAAATCAGAAATCACTCAAGAAAACATTTTCTCTGAAGTAGAAAAATCTCTCTTTAGAAAGGTCTTACTATTTTATGATATGCTGGTCTTCTGTGTGCAGGGCGAGACATAGTGCTTGATAGATGAAGAATGTGATCTTCAATTTCTCTTGGTTTTGCCTGTTCCTTAGAGGTGTATCAGTCCATGTCTTTCTGTTTGTTTTTGTAAGCTCTTCCTTGCTTTCAGACAGGAGTGCTACTTCTGCACTCTACGGCTTTTGCTCTTTGCTGAGCTGAAGAGGAAAATAACCATGAACAACAGGATTGTCTTATAGCCACGTAACTTTCCACAGATCAAATAAGTGCTTCATTTCTGAGGATGAATTATAATCTAGAGCCATAAAAGCTGATAGTGTGAAGTCAGACCTGAAGCACTGAGACACAAAAAATTCTTTAGCCCAAGGGAGTTCAAGAGTGGTGTTTTGTTCTTATGCCAAGGCATTGTTTTAAAACCACAAACAGAAACCTTCACAATCCAAGATAGATCTAAATGTTAGCATTATTCAGTCTTGGATTGATTGTTGTAAGAATTAGAGAGAGAAGATCAGCAATCTGTAGGTAATAAATCCTGAGTTCAAACCTGATCCATTAACGACATCAATGGTTATTACATTGTCTCCAAAACCATAGGCCCCTATCTTGTGTGATTGTAATATTCAAATATATCTGATAACCTTTTTTTCTTTTCATTAGCATCGACCAAGAGCGTTAATGAGTGATAGAACAAGCAATATTTTCTTACAAAGTTGTTGTTCAAAATGGGTGCTCTACAGTGTAATAATGTATAATGATACTAGCAGAGAAAGTAAGCCCTTAGCTTTCTTTTGAGAGTTGCTGAGATGTTAGCTACTGAAGGCTCTCTTTATTTATGCAGAAATATTTAAAGTTCAAATAAAAAATCCTTTCACCTTGACAACTGCAGGGTGCAAGGAGGCTCAAAATCTTTCCAGAAATAGAAGCGGAAAACTCAGTTTAGGAAAGTAGTTTTCTGCTACTTATCGTTTGAGTCCATTAATCCTATTTGTTCTGGCAAATTCCTGCTATAAAGTGACAGACACAGGAATACTTTGAAGAACAGTGTGGTGTAGTTGAAAGAACCTAGGAGGATTTGGAAGGCTCAGGCTAAGTCACGGATCTACCATTTGCTGGCTGTGTGACTTTGGGCAAGCTATTTTATTGCTTTATGGCTCAGTTTCCACACTTGCAAAATGGAAACAATATCACCCACCTCACAGGATAATTGTGAGAATCAAAGAGACAAGATGTGCCATAAAACACATTAAAATGCACTATATAAAAACTAGTTACTATAAGTTATTCTTGTGGTTGGATAAATTGAATGCAATTCTACAATATTTAATATATTTCCATTGCTGCTTATGTTCTATGAAACTATGATCTCAGGAAAACTAATTTTACTTGGTTATGGAGTGGGAGTGAAGAGTTTTTTAGCAGCAATTATTAACAACTTATATGTATATCAAATTTACAATTTAAAGCATAGTTTGCATTCTCTTTATCTCATTTTAATTGAAACACAATCTGTGAAATAGTACTGTAATCGTGGCCATTTTACAGGATAAGAACTTAAAGGCAGAGAGGTTGAGAAATGTATTCAAGGTTATCTGGATGTTGGCAACAAGAGGGATTTGGGCTAAATTTGATGATTCCAAATCAAATTTTTTTTTTACTGCACATACTCTAATTATGTTAGAGCAAACTTAGAGGTAGACTCACAGAAGCTTACTAGGGTGCAGTGACAGCATGTTGCCGGGTCAATTTGTGGACAATCTTGAGTTCTGAGTAAGATACCCCAGAGAACAACATAGAAAGGGCCTGTGTGCTTGCTGGGAGGTGATGGCGGTAGTGGACTCAATTTCACTAAACTCTAATGGCTGTGGTATGGTCATATTAGGGCCATTGGGAGAATTCAGGATGTCATTGCGAGTATTTGAAAAAGCCAGCTTTTACTTCAGACTGACATGGTTCTTCTCTGCCCTATGACCTTCCAGCCAGGACACAGAGCCTGAGGAAGGAGCAGAGACCCTGCCAGGTGCTACTGTACAAAGCACAATCTGCATGACCACAACTGTTCTCACCATCACGGGGGATACTTGTTTGCTGGTTTCCAGACTAGAAAGCCCCTAACGCTTCAGCAGCTCTTAGGATGCAAGTGAGACCTGTGTTCCCAGACTCCTGTTTTAATGTAAAACTACTCCTCCCTTAAATAGAAGAAAGCACAGAGACGATGTTTCAAACAGGAGCATGATCTATAATGTCTGCCCTGGCAGTCAACTAGGAGAGAGAGTTACTTCAAGATAATGCATAAGCAAAGTTGTTTCTGTTTTACTAAGAGTTCTTTAGGCTTGCTAGGACTAAATTTGGAACTGGGATTAGGAGGAAGATGCATTCTTCAGTCTCATAAAACTGCACTACAGTCAACCAACCCAAGTAAATGGTGAATTGAGCTATGCCCCTATGCTGATCCTTTGAGAATACTTGGGCAGCAGAGTAGACACTTGGGAAGGTGCTAATAGAAGATGATATCCACTGATATGTGGGTTTTATGATCACCCGCAAACTGTCAGAGAAGACAAAGCTACTTCTAGCTACCATAACATCTGGTCCAAGTACGTATTATGTTTTTTCAACTTCTTTTTCTATTTAAGGCTGCTCTTGATGTTTATTTTAACCTTATTTCTTTACATAAAATTGGTGTGTGATTTTCTCTGCACCCCAATTCCCCTGAGGATAGCTCTAGTGCTCAGATCCAACTTTCTTTAACTGTGTGTCCCTGTATGCTTAGTAAACAAGCTGATAGGTCCCTGCTGATGAAGAGACATTTGATAGCTACATATTGGATAGACAGGGGACAGCAAACCATCTTTAACAAGAGACCATTTGACTATAAAGACTACTATGGTCTGAATGTCCCCTAAAATTTATGTGTTTAAACTTAATTCCCATTGTGGTAGTTTTAAGAGTTGGGCCTTTGGGGAAGTGATTAAGTCACGAAGGCCCTGCCTCTGTGAATGAATTATCACCTTATAAAAGGGCTGTAAGGAACTAGCTTAGACCTCTTGTGGCTTTTCTGCTATCTGAAGATTTAACAACAAGGTGCCATCTTGGAAGCAGAGAAGAGCCCTCGCCAGATACCAATGCCAGCATCTTGATCTTGTACTTCCCAGCTTTCAGAACTGTAAGAAATAAATTTCTGGTGTATACTAGTCTGCAGTATTATACCATCACAAAAGAACTAATAAAACTGGTTACTCATAAACGTAATCAGTCATTGACAAGTTACAGACTGTACTGCAGATGAAGTAGTTAGTGCTTTCAGCAGTAAACAATAGTGAAAACTTGGACATTTATCATCTACAAACTCCTTTACAGCAAGAATTTTACATTCCAATAGTGAATTTTTTTTTTTTTTGGATACAGAGTCTTGCTCTGTCACATCACCAGGCTGGAGTGCTGTGGCTGATCTCGGCTCACTGCAACCCCTGCCTCCTGGGTTCAAGCAATTCTTCTGCCTCAGCCTCCCAAGTAGCTGGGATTATGGGCATGCGCCACCATGCTCAGCTAATTTTTGTATTTTTAGTAGAGACGGGGTTTCACCATATTGGCCGGGATGGTCTCAGTCACCTGACCTCGTGATCTGCCTACCTTGGCCTCCCAAAGTGCTGGGATTACAGGTGTGAGCCACCGCACCTGGCCCAACAGTGACTTGTAGTCAATCAATCCTCCATCCTTTCCTACAGAATTCCCTGAAAGAATGGTCTACAATTTTCTTCCTCACTTCCTAACTCCCCGTATGGATGCTCCTCAACTTGTGATAGGGTTATATCTCGACAAACCAATTAGAAGTCAGAATGCATTTAATATACCTCACGTACCGAGCAGCATAGCTTAACCTAGACTACCTTAACATGCTCAGAACACTTACATTAGCCTACAGTTGAGCAAAATCATCTAACACAAAGTCTATTTCATAATAAATTGAATATCTCATGTAATTTATTGAATATTGCACTGACAATGAAAAAAGAGAATGGTTGTATGCATATTTGATGTAGGGTTTCTACTGAACGTATAATGCCTTCACACAATTTTAAGGTGGGGACCATCTGTACTTTAATTGTTGATTTTTAAATATAAAAATTATAAACATAAGGAAGCTGGGCACAGCGGTTCATGTCTATAATTCCAACACTTTGGGAGGTTGAGGTCAGTGGATCACCTGAAATCAGGAGTTGGAGACCAGCCTGGCCAATATGGTGAAACACCATCTCTACTAAAAATACAAAAACATTAGCCAGGTGTCTTGAAGGGCACATGTAATCCTAGCTACTCAGGAGGCTGGGGCAGGAGAATCACTTGAAATCAGGAGGTGGAGGTTGCAGTGACCCGAAATCATGTCACTGCACTTCATCCTGGGTGACAGAGTGAGACCCCGTCTCAAAAAAATGTATATATATGTAAAAAATAAAAATAAAATTACAAGCTTAAGGAAAGATGTGTATTTACTATCAAGCTTTACTGAACATGTCACTATATACACTTCAGGCTTTGCTTTTTAAAATTTTTTTTTGATACATGATATTTATGGGGTGCATGTCATTCCTTGTTACATGGATAGAATATACAATGATCAAGTTAGGATATTTCAGGTATCCATCATCTAGAGCAGGTGTCCCCAAACTACGGCCCGCGGGCCACATGCGGCCCCCTGAGGCCATTTATCCAGCCCCCTGCCACACTTCAGGAAGGGGCACCTCTTTCATTGGTGGTCAGTGAGAGGAGCACAGTAGGTGGCAGCCCTCCGATGGTCTGAGGGACAGTGAAGTGGCCCCCTGTGTAAAAAGTTTGGGGACGCCTGATCTAGAGTGTTTATCATTTCTGTGTGTTGAGAGTATTTCAAGACCTCTTTTCTAGCTGTTTTGAATGTACAATACACTGTTGTTAACTACAGTTACACTGCCCTACTCTGCTATCGAACATTTGAACTTATTCTATCTAGCTGTATATTTGTATCCTCTCTTCATCCTCCTACTCCCACACACACACCTTTCTTAGCCTCTGATGCCTATCATTCTACTCTCTATCTCCTTGAGATCAACTTTTTAGCTGCCATGTTTGAACGAGACCATGCAATACTTGTCTTTCTGTGCCTAGCTTATTTCACTTAATATAATGATCTCCAGTTCCACCTATGTTACTGCAAATAACATAATTTAATTCT